TTTTCCCTTCTCATAGCATGGAGTAGTCACTTATTTCACTTGGGTGTTTGTAAACCCTAGCTACAATTATGTGAATGTTTGTATGGGTTGAATGATTTATGTGTGGATGTGTTTTAATATTAATTTGGAGGTATTTTCATGGAAGATTGTGTTGTGATTTTGCCTATCAATATATTTGTCATTCTAACCTAGGTAGAGAGAAAACCCCCTTTCTTTAAAAAGAGGGTTATAAAGCTGGATTTTCTTAGGCAAATTTTGTCTTCTATCTAGAGTTGGTTGTAATTTGCCCATCTGAACTCCGATTCGAGGGTGATGTCTTGGCAACCCTTAGTCAATAGGTCAAGAGAGCTACGTTGGTGGCTTGAATCAAATTCCCTTGACCTATTAACCGAGAGAGTGACATTTGTTCACTTGTTGCACTTCATTACAGTTTACAAACTCCTTACCACACGTGTTCATTCAATCCGACAAGTCATAATTGCTAGCTAGGGGGAGCAACACCCGGATGAAGCCTTCTCAATTAGTGTACAATCTATTTACCTTTCTAAACGTTTTAGCTATAGATCGTTGTTTTCGCTAAAAACCAATCGCTAGATAATGTTTCAAACAATCGAAGTAGGGGTACATGGACCTGCCCGGGTTGATATTTAAACATACATTCCCTATATTGCACCCAATTAAGTTTTATACTTGGGCCCTAATTGAGAGTTTTATTGTGATATTCAGGACGAGTCAACCCGCTCGGTATCGCTTCGCCTATTAGCGAGAACATGATATTATAAAAATTGATAGTTTGAATTTTGACCCAAAACTAAAGAGCTTGTCATTTACAACTCAATTTAGTCGACGTAGCGATAAACTTTAATAAGTGAGAAGGGTCATCGATAAATATTCACAGGTTCGACGAGGTTCAACTCACTTTGGCCGGGTCAAATTAGGTTGAACCCATTAGTTTGTAGTAACTCTTATTATTCAAATTGGTATAAATTTGCAAAGAAGATGTGTATTAAGGGCAATGCTTGCAAATCGTACCAAAAGTTACGACGAACAAGTCGACATATGATATTCTGTGGCATGAATATATAAATGTGGTTCAACCCTTTCATACTGTTAGAATATCATTTTTTCTTTAAATAAATATTTTTTTGAAAGGACCACAATAAGAAACTTTACTAATATATATGAGAAATATTTGAATAATATCTAAAACTATAATGAATAATAAATATTAAATAATCATATAATGACATAAATAATCATATATGAATGACTAATCATCAAAATGGCACATTGGAAAATTCATATAATAACATTATAGTTTAGTAGAGTCCGTGTGTAACAAGTTGGGTCCTAGAATCCATCTTGACAAAAGAAATTACAATATATTTCTCATATTTTAGTGTACGAAAATTTGACTAATTAAACATAAGTATAGAAGTTAGAGTTTTTAGATTATAATAAAAAAAAATTGTTTATATGGTTAGTTGTTGTTTCATAGATAAAAGGTGTTTCTTATTTCATGTAAGTTTTTTTTTTATAGCTGAAGGCTTGATATATACACATGTTTTTATCCACCATTCTTATGCCGTTTGAGCCTCATTGCTCATATCTTAGGTCGATTTCACGCTAAATTTGTCTCGTTTGTGTTATTTCAGGTCCTAGTACGTGATTGGAAGTTTGGGAACGAGTTCGGGGTCGATTGAACGAAAGTTGGACGTTTGGCTAGAAGCTGAGGAATCCACACGGCCAGACCTAGCAGTCACACGGCCGTGTGGTGTGGCCCTGTGTAATCCCATTACGCGGGCAAGACACACTGGCCGTGTACTGGGTCCCTTGAGGCCGTGTGGAAATTCCAGGGAGCTCACACGGTTAGGCTGAGAATCCACATGGCCGTGCATTTATGGCCGTGCAGCGTGCATGAAGCTCATTAGATGGAACGCCGCGTTTTGGTACTCACACGGGCAGATTGGGAAACCACACGGCCGTGTGGTCGGGAAATTCTGGGTTTTAACCCAATTTCGAGCCTAAGGAGAGAGGATCGAGTTTTTGAGCAGAAAACAGAGCTTTAGAGAGAGAATGTGCGAAGAACAAACCCTAGGAGTTATTTGGAGTGGATTTCTTACCATTGAAGCCCAGATTGCATCCCGAGGAGTGAAGATCGACATCCTAGAGCATATTATCTTCATCTTTATGAGTATGACGACTCTGATTTATGTTTTCCCCTCTCTCTCTCTATGGAGTAGAACCCCCTCTCACTTGGGTTTGAAGAATCCTAGTTCCATGTGTTAGGAATCTTGATTGTAATTCCATGTGTTAGGAATCTTGATTGTAATGACTTGGGATTGATATACTGCTTGATTTTAATCGATTGATGCATGATTCATTGAGTCAATTGAAGTTTGATCATCTTTTCATGATTTTTGCTGCAACCTGAGATAGATAGAATCTTATTAGGTTGTTAGAGCTTCATCCATCGGTAGTGGTAGATTGGTTATACGAGAGTTAATCGATTTGCTGCTTTGTACTGGAACCCAATTCCAGTAGTGGAGTTCTGTGCTTATTGCCTCAGCAGTCTATCCCGGTGAAGGCTAGTCGCCTTCCGGTTAGTCTGCCTGAGAGGGCTTGGTCAACTTAAGAGATTCCAAGCTACTGTCGGATCTTCCACAGTTTAATCAATAGTTAATCAACCCAGGGTAATTACAACCTCGACCTAACTAAGGAGCTAGGGGGGCTCATTCTCGAGTGACTCTTCCCTTGCTAAAGAACTTTGAACCATTTCCTGCTTTCTTACTGCTTTTAGTTAAAATCACAATCACTCGACTTAGTTTGCTAGATAATAGATATTCACGGAGTAGGCAGTAGATCAAGACCCCGGGTTGACAAATAGAGCTTGCCACTTACTGCATTTCCGAACTGCAATTGCACTTGGTCGCAGTTTGGTGTTGTGTTTTAGCGTGTCAATAGCCAAATTGAAATTCGTTTGCTTCTTACTTACTTTTTTCATTTTGATAAAATTAAATCTTTTTATAAGGATGTCATAGATTTGATTTTAATATTATGTGTTATTTAAGAAATTCGAACCTCAGATGAAAATGACTTGGTCTAGCGGTAATACCACTAGTCTTGAACTTCGAGGTCCCATGTTCGAATCTCTTAAGCGGTACCTAAACAGCGAACAGTAAACCTATCGAAGGGGTGGGAGCAGTTAGATGGGGAAGCCGAGAAGATATGAGAATTAGGGTTTCCATTATCCTTCGTTTGATTTATATACGACGTCGTTTTAAGATACGGGGCTGGGACGGGGTGGATACCACGGAGTTCGTCGCCACCCATCACCCGCTATTCACGAATTTCGGGAATACACAAATCCGCCAAATACCCACGTCGAACGGGTAATTTGGTCACCATCTGGGTGAATTTCGAGTGAGCACCTAGCGGGTCGGTCAGGGTTGCCAAGCCTACCAAGGATGGTTGGTAGGGGATGGGCGGGATCCGATTAGCTTGTTAGCTGTTAGCACTTAGCCCAATATATGATTTCTGATATCGAAATAGGTCTAGGTTCATTAGGCTTTGAGATCTTGGGCCTGATCCTAGAAGCCCAAAATTCCCCGAGAACTGGTGGCAGACCCGAGCTGCTTTTTGTTGGCCATCTCATTCATCCTCCTTTTCTTCGATTCCCGACGACAACCCCTAAACATCAGCAATAGGGATGGCAACAAAACCCGAACCCACGGGTACCCACCCGACCCAACCCGGTCAACGCGGGTAAAACCCGTGTTGACGGGTTTTGGGCCGGGTTCGGGTTTAAACCCGGTACACTTTTCATCGATTGGGTTGGGTTTGGGTTTAGGTAAACCCGCCCCATGGATACCCGCCCACATACATATAATTACTTTCTTGGTATATTTAATATTCTAAATAATATATCTTCCTTAAACAACTAATATTCTTTATGTTTGTAGAGACATGTATAATTTGTTCTTTAATTGTTTAGAATGAAGTTGATATTATGAAGTGAAGAATGAAGAAACTTAGTTGACGAGGAAGAAGCTTTCAGTTAATCTTATTGTTTATAGATGTTTATCTTTAATTTTGAACAATTTGTATTGATCATTTGCGGTTTGCCTGTATGCTCTAGATTGGTGTTTTTTGTATGATTAATTTGTATGAGAAAATTGATATTAAACTTTTATTTTGAAAGACCCACGGGTACCCATGAACTCGCGGATACCCAGCGGGTTGGGTTGGGTTTGAGTTTTTCAAACTCAACGAATTTTACCCCGAGTTTTTTTGACGGATAAACCCATGAATTTGGGTTTGACAAAACCCGCCCCAACCCGACCAATTACCATCCCTAATCAGCATGGATGTCAAACCGGTTTCATGCCGGCCGGTTCAATCGGGTTCAACCGGTACCGGTTAGCAAACCGGCTGGAAAGGGGCCGGTATTTAACTACGGTCAAATCCGGTCAGACCCAGTCAAATCCGGAAATTCCGGCCGGTTAGACCAGAAACCGGAATTTAGTGTTACACACATTATATCCAAAAATAAACATCCTCCATAGAATTCGAACCAAGTACCTCATGTTCATTTAAGTTTAACTCACACACCAGTAAACTACAAGCAATTTTGTTGTTTATATTAACTTTATATGTTATATATCTAATACTAAATTTTGCACAAATCATTATAAACATTAATAAAATTCATTTAATAAAATTTTGTTTTTAAGCATCTAATTGTTTAGTATTAGTTATCAATTCTTGGCTATAAATTATTTTGTGTGAAATAATTCTTCTAATTGCTTTTTCATGATAAATTTATTTGGAATTGAGGATTTCCATTTTCCTCATGTATTTTATTAAAACCGGCACAACCGGCATAAATACTGGTTGTACCACAGTCAGACCATTTCACTTACAAAATCGGCAAACCGGCATAAACCGGTTTGACAACCTTGCTAATCAGCAATATCGCAAATTTGGCAGCCTCCGCCGCCCACAAACGAATCAACCTCAAATCTCAATTGTCGTCGCCGGAGCTGTTTCTGCGCCTGAGAAGGTAATAACCTCTCAAATCCCCAATACTCTCTCCGAGTTCATTGCATATATTGTGCTTCGCTTCCCGTCAGATTCTTAGTTTGGGAAAATGCTGCACCGGGCGAGATTTGTTCTAAAGAATTGGCTGCTCCATAGCGATAGTTCCTGCTTATCTGGTAGAGTAAACCCTTGTACGTTGCTTTCCTGTCTGCGGCTATTCTCCAGCGACCCAACTGCTCCAGTCCCTTTCGCTGTGTCTTACCTCATAAACGAATGCGGGGTTCGTCCTGAATCTGCTGCTTCTGCTGGTAAGTACATCCATTTCGAAACCCCAGAGAGAGCTGATGTAGTCCTGGGCTTCTTCAGGAACCTGGGTTTCACGGATTCCCAATTGCCTAAGGTTTTCGGTAGGCACCCCCGGCTCCTAATGTCTGATCCTGAGAAACACTTCATTCCCAGGATTAGGTTTTTGGAATCCAACGGCTTCTCAACCTCCGACATTGCTCTAATCTTGCTTAGAACTCCCGAGATACTTCACGCCAGCATAGAGAACCAGCTGCTCCCTAATCTCAACTTCTTCAAAACTGTCATGCCGTCTGATGAGAACCTTATTCGGGCTATAAGGCGCAGCCCGTTCCTTCTGACTTGTGAGCTGGAGACATATGTGATCCCTGGTATCAGGATTCTTAGAGAAAGTGGGGTCGGTGAGTCGAGCATTGTGCGATTACTCTTGTTTCACCCGAGGACTCTCATGACTTCACGGAGTCAACTCTCTCAGGCCATAGAACGTGTCAAGAAAATGGGGGTGGATCCTAGGTTAAGGCAATTCAGTGTAGCTGTTCAGACGATTAGAGGAGTGAGCAAGGGAACTTGGGACAGCAAGATTGATGCTTATAAGAAGTGGGGTTGGTCCAACGAACGGATTCTGAAGGCTTTCACGAAGTCTCCATGGTGTATGGCAATGTCTGTGAAGAAACTTATGGCCAATATGGACTACTACGTTAACAAAATGGGGTTTGATCCTTTGGTTATTGCAGCTCGACCTGTATTACTGGCCTTCAGCTTGGATAAGAGGATTATGCCTCGAGATGCTGTTCTGTGTGTCTTGTTGTCAAAAGGGTTGATCGAATCTAGAGCCTCGGTTCAGGCATTGGCACTAACGAATGAGGGGTTCCAAAAGAAGTTTTTGGACCCTTATAAAGAGCAGGCTCCTGAACTGTTACAGTTGTTTCAGGAGAAACTCAGAACTTGTTGAGCAATAGTGGATCGCAGATGGGATAGAGACGAGCATAAAGAAGCACACTTTACTAGTTTAATGAAGGATGAAGTGAAGAAAATTGTGAAGAAGCTAGCATGAAGCAAATTGGTAGGACATTGTAGCATCTTTGCTGTATTGATTAGTTGCTCTTGCCCAGTCTTTATACAAACTGCAGACTTGGGGCCAACTATTCTGCGAGGTCATTGTCAATTTGGCACGAATTGGCTGCCTCGTTGCATGGTTTTTCTTTTATATTAGTGGACCACTTCCATAACTGTTCTGTTTGCAGCATGAACTATTATTTCGGGCTCCTGGCCAGAGCTTACCATTCTACAAAGGTACTCAGTCTTATCCTAACTCAAGCAGTCGCTTTCACCAAGCTTGGCTACTGGCCAGCCCAGCTGTAACTTCTCTTCACAGTTTTGGTGCGCGGTGAACTTTTATCAACTCTCGCATCCTTCCCATGATTCTTGTGCAGTAAAAAGTTATGCTCGCCATTTCTTTGGGCTTGGGAATGAGTTCGACATGGGGATGGCTACTGAGATGTGTGAAATGGCACCACATGTAGTGGTTGTGTTTGTCTTTGAGTTATACCAGGGTGACTTAGTTTAATGGTTCCTCTGCTCACAAAGCCAACAGCTTTGAGTTGCCACTTATCTGCTGCCGCAAAATAGCCTGCCTTCTAGGTTGAATGAATGAATTAAAGCAGAGAAAAGTTGCTACTAACTAGAGAAGAGATAAGATAATATTATTCTTTATTGTAGTTAATGCAGGGACATGGTTCAAGAACCAGTGATGACCTTCGACTGAAGTGAACTCTCGTGTTGTAGATCTTGCCTCTCAGTTGATTTACTTTAATGAAGTTCATCAGCATGCTGCAATTGCCCTGTACTCTGTTTTAGACTTTTAAATGGCAAAGGACTTGATATGCGGCACACCCGTGACTGCATTCATCGAACTTCTTGGCAGGAATTAAGATCAAATTGGGCGGTAGCTGTTGCTTTGATTTCATGTGTGTGCAACGTGGATGGTAGGCGAATGCATGTAACTGTGGCATGCGAAGATAAGTGCATGTTTAGTTTTGAGCCATTGGCAGTAGCAGAAACAGTGAGATGACATTTGTTTGAGGTTAAAGGAGCAAGGATTATGACATAGTTAATTTTAATGTTTATATATATTCGGCCGTTTGCGGTTATGTGTTTGTTAATTTTGCACACTGCTCATAGGATTGCCCATTTTGTGGCATAACATGCCCTTTCATCGGTAGTTCGACTATTTGTCGACTGCCGCACAGTATTGGTGGGCAATGGGTGGGTGGGTGAGTTTTCGTCTCAAATTGACTCATCCACTTCCTAGCGGGTTGGAATAATTGTGACCCGCAATCAACCCACATTCTTATGCGGGTCGGGTTGGATGGGTGGCGGATGGATGTAGTTGGGTCGTGGGTTAACCCGCAAAAATAATTCCTCAACTAGCTATTAAGAAAGTTTACTAACATTTATAATAAGTTCATAGCAAAGTAGTAAGATTGTATCAATTTAGACACTTATCACTTTCTCTCTAGTGAATCCATGTAGTATTTGCATCAACAAATTTATTTCTCTATCCCCCAATTGTGTTGGGAAAACTTACGCATGTTGTGATTTTGATACAATTAATAATTTATAGTTTCCATCCCAATATATAATGGATATTAACAATAATTTGCATTACAATATCCAATTAATGGATATTACACACAATAACCAATAACAGTAATCAAAAGTATTATTTATTCTCAACATTAAGAAGTATATGGTCAGACCGTAGTGCGGTTTGGAAATATGATGAATATTCGATACTATAAGAAACAACATTTTTTCATGTGAAAATAGGAAGTGGGTCATTCGTGTAACTCGCAATCCACCCATCGCCCACCCACATAAATGCGGGTGGGAGATTTATCAATCCGCAATCCACCCACATAATGAGAACTAAACCTTTGCACCATCCTAATGGACCTCTCAGTCATCATCATAGGACATACTCGATCACATGCAACAATTCAAGGTTAAAGCCAATAGACACGAAATTATCCCAAAAACCGCCACTTTGATCATGCAAACATTGCTTGGAGCCCTCAAATTTTCAAATTTGGGAAAACATCAAGACTCCAAGCATCAATCACACTTACACAAGCATAATAATAAACTACCCCCCCCCCCCCCCAACACACACACATATACCTGGCAAATTACAACCCGACCCGAAACTACAAAATTTTGTAACTCAAAATCTGAATGACCCGAACCCGATAACCTATGATTTTTTGGATCGAGTTGGGTAGGTTTGCGGGTCGACCCGTTAGACCCGTTTCAGTTAATATATTACTCCCAAAATATGATAAAATCACTCACAAATTGGTGAGATGTTTAAAAAAAAGGCAAAATACATTAGTGTAGTCAAAACTTTGACGGTTTAGCCAAATATAGCCCCTTTTGACAAAATACCAAAAATAGCCACTTCTGACCTATTCTTTGACAGTGTTAGTGAACGTGCTGACTGGACTAACAATAACGATTGATGTGGCATATTTTACTCAAAAACAATACTAGGTGAAAAAATAATCATCATTTATCTTTTTATTTAATCAAATTAAATAACAATATTGCCACATGAATTTAATTGAAAAAAAAAACAAAAGAGATTTCCTCTACCTACCTCCTCGACGCCTCCTCCACCACTAAACCCCCCGAATTCGGGGAAAGTTAATCTGCTAACTTGAAGATCCGTTAGCAGATACTAACTGATATCCAAAATACATGAACTAGTATCCAAGTACTAAAGTATCTAGAGAGCACAAACTAGTATTCAAAGTTTGCTAACTGATATCCACCATGAATCAACTATTATCCCAAATTCACAAACTAATATCTAGAAAACACATAATAGTATTCATACAGCACAAAATTAGTATCCTGATAACACATAAAAGTATTCAAATAATACACAACAGTATCCATATTGAATACTAGTTGGTTGATTGGTGATATTAGTTGGTATCTGCTATCTGGATACTAATTTGTGATGTTTTGAATACTAGCCTGTGCTATCTAGATACTCAGCAGACTTGGATATTAGTTCATATATCTTGGATATTAGTTAGTATATACTAACGAATCTTCAAGTTAGCATAATAACTAGGTTGCTGCATCCAGTTCAACCTACGAAACCATTCCTTCTCCAACCAATCAATAGTCGTGAACCCTTACCATCAAACTCACCTCCCACATCCCCGCCACCAGCCTCTTCCTTGTCTTCTTTTTCCTCTTCAAGGACCGCAACAGGAAGATACCATAGGCACCGCAGCGGGGCAAAGGGAAGTGATTGTGGAAGACTCAGAATCAGAATCAGAATCAATTGTAGAGGAGGAAGGTTAGTGTAGTTTTTTCGTTTCCTCAAATTGGAAACTCGTCGCGCGAAAATCAGTGTCCCCCACCACACTCTGTTTGTTGTTCGCTTATGCCGCCACTGCGTTTATGCCCTGATTCAGATCGGTATCCAAACTTAACTTCTCTCCCACAGAAGACCATATCTCACAGCTACAAGAGGGAGGTCGAGCAACTGTCAGATTGTAGAACGACAGGTCCTATCATCGAGAAAACAAATGAAGAATGGAAGGGCTTGGCACAAGAGATAAATGACTGTGGTAACAGGAGCGACAACGGCTAGGTCGAGGAGGTATGTGTTGCTGGCGTACAGCTATGTTTGAGTTGTCGATGTGGGTGGCGATGGCAGTCAACTGGTCGGTGTGGGCGCGACGGCGAATTGGGGTTGCTCTAGGCGGGGCTAGGGTTTGTGAATTGGTAATTGTCGAAGAAGAAGAAGAAGGGATGGAGGTGGGAATAGAAGCAAAATTAGAAAAAAAATATTTTTAGTTTTTTTTTTTAATTTCAAAATTTAATTATTTTTAACAATTAGAATGATGTGGAAATGATATTGATGACTTGCTGCTGACGTGTGCAATGATTTGGCATCCACGGAGTTTCTAACACCATTAAAGTTTGTAACGGAAATGGCTATATTTGTCATGGAATTGTCAAAATTCTGACTATTTTTGGTATTTCGTCAAAAGTGGCTATTATTGTCACAAACACTAAAGTTTTGGCTATACATATGCATTTTGCCCTGACGACAGCGTTGTTTACGACCCGGCTTATCTGCCTTTTGATCTCGACAGTCTCTCCAACCGTAGCCAACAAATGTGCAGCTTTTTCGGGTTGAAGATTGACGATGATGCACTCATCGATCTGGCTATCCATGTTCAGAGTATTGCCTCCCTTACCTATGAGAGGAAAAAGCGGGTACATCTTTCTAAAGCAGAGATGGAGAGACATCGCATTGGACCCGTGGTTGATCTTGTTGGAGGTTCGAGAAGCAGGAGGAAAAAGGATTTGGGCCCAACTGCAGCTATATCATAATGGTTAAGTCTATAATAGCATGGAACATCCGGGGTCTGGGTTGCGATCAGAAAAGATAAAGAATAAAAAGAATTTTGTACAGAAGAAGGCCAACCATCGTGGGTCTCACCTGGGTATTGCTCGTCCTTGTCTCATTCTGAGAATCAATTAACGAAACTCTAGTGTGAAGGGTATAATTATGTACCGCGAGGCGGGTGCAACAAGCTAGGAACGAGCCCTCCTAGTCGATCAATCAAGGATTGCTACAATAAGCTAGCATACCTAGCTCTCTTAACCACTTGGCTAAGGATTGCAACAATAAGCTACGAGGCATAGATCTCTTAATCAAACAACCGAGGAAACCCTAACTCTCTTAGTTGACCAATTAATTAAGGATTGTTGCATTAAGTTAGTAGACTAACTCTCTTAACCTTTCGGCTAAGGATGACAACAATAGGCTACACGATCTAGCCCTCTTAACTAATCAACTAAGGGTTGCAAGACTCAACCCTCGGAAGTTAATCCAGACGGCGGAGAGCGAGCAACCATGATGGGATGATGGTACTACTCTGATACTTGCAGGGGCGTAGCCAGGATTTTGTGTAGGGTGGGCCTGTTTAGAAAAACACATACGATAAAAATATTTTGTTAGCTTTTTAAATCATTCATGATATAATTTTGTATTTAAAAAAATTTGGTAAATTAAATATATGACTATAAAAAATATCACACTATATGCATCAAAAAATTATTCATAATTAATTACCAAAAATAATTATTCATTATTTAGTTAAAGATTTGCTTTTGAATGGTGTTATTTGTCAAGACCGTTTAGTATCAACAACTTGAGTTGTTGGGAAAGATTTAATTATGGATCTTAAACTATTTAATATTTACTAACACTTCCTCGCTAACGAAAACCAATTTATACGTGGTTAATTTTTTTTCAAATTTGAATATCATGTGCTTAACAAATGGGGTCGTCAAGATTTGAACACATGATCTCTCGGTCAACCATTTTCAATTAGAAGTGCTCTAAATGCCTAAATTTCATTCTCAATGAACTATTATCCTAGTTTACCCTTTCCTTAGGAGACACCCATTACACTCTCCCTGGCCCTAATTGAAATAAAATTATTTTTTACAAACTAGCTATGATTTGGTGGAAATTTGCGGTAGATATTGAATAAGTACATTTTTTATTTTGGGCAGATCATATGCACCATTGGCATTTGTACAAAGCTCATTATAAAAACATTGAGCATGTCAATACACAACTTAAAAATCAAACATCATATATTTGAAAGTTCAACCATTCTCATTTAAATACATATGATTTTTCACACCCGATTAACGATTATATCTACTTTAATATTTTTACTCCAGTGCCAGCGTGGGTCCTGGGACCCACCCTTTAACACTCTCCATCCGCCCCTAGATACTTGAGGTTTTGGCCTTACAGTAACCCAAAAGGGGGTTACCCAAGTGGCTAGGAGATCAAGCTCCCTATGGGGCAAAGGGGGATTTCTACCTTCTAGGTTAATTTGACAC